GCCCACAAGTCCATCCCATGGTCCATCTCCCACTGCCATGCTGGCAGCTTCCACCCATCCAATTCCAGTCAGGTGCAGAGGAGCAGAGACAAAGGATGACCTTGGCTTTCTAGAAAGAATGTTGTTATGGCTACATATCCTCTAACTCCGTACAATCCCCCCTCCCATTTTCCCGCAATAGAAGATGCATAGTGGAATAATAGAAAGGGTGGCAGGCCAAAGACCCAAAAGAAAAGATGGCTACAGGCCTCACAGTCCTGTTGCAAGGGTACTCTAAGGAGGTCACAAACAGGAAGATGTCACTCACAAGTGTTCTGCGGCTTCGTTTTAAAACGGACACATCCAGAGGTCTCCGTCAGCCTTTGGAAAGATGGGACGATGGAAGCTGCAAAGTAAAGGTTCCCCCTTGCACATATGTGCTAGTCGTTCCTGACTCTAGGGGGCAGTGTTCATCTCCGTTTCAAAGCCAAAGAGCCAGTGCTGCCCAAAGACATCTCCGTGGCCAAAGGTGGTCCCTATTTTTCTACTTTTTACGTGCTTTCAAACTGCTAGGTTGGCAGAAGCTGGGACAAGCAACAGGAGCTCACTCCATTATGCGGCGCTAGGTATTCGAGCCGCCGAACTGCCAACCTTTCTGATTGACAAGCTCAGCGTCTTAGCCACCGAGCCACCGTATCCCTGGGTGGAAGCTACACTCCAGCCAATTATGGCTGGTGCTGATTTCAGGAAGCGGCTGTGGAAATGGGCCACCGTGTCCAAATCTTGTTCTGTCTTTTCAGGTGACTTCAAATGCCCTCTGAAGGAAGAAGTGGCCCTCACGAGTGGAGAGTGGGAAGTTCTGGCCCGACATGGATACAAGGTACGAAGTCTCTTCTTCTCCCAGTGAAAGCACCGTTTCAGGTCTTTGCTATCGATTCTCTGGTTTCTGATTGACAGTTTCCTACTGCAGCAATCAGAGAGACGGATTAGTGTATTGGTTAAGGCGCCAGGATAGATTCCAGGAGATGGTGAGTTCTAGTTCTGCATGAAAGCAGACTGGTGACTTTGGGCCAGTCACTAGGAGACGGTGAGTTCTAGTCCCACTTTAGGCATGAAAGCCAGCTGGGTGTCTTTGGGCCAATCACCAGGAGACAGTGAGTTCTAGTTCCTCCTTAGGCACAAAATCTGGCCAGGTGACTTTGGGCCAATCACCAGGCAATGGTGAGTTCTAGTCCTGCCTTAGGCATGAGAGGCAATTGGGCGATTTTATACCAATCACTAGGAGACGGTGAGTTCTCATTCCACCTTAGGCACAATATCTGGCTGGGTGACATTGGATCAGTCACCAGGAGACAGTGAGTTGTAGTCCAGCCTTAGACATGAAAGCCAGCTGGGTGACTTTGGGCCAGTCACTCTCTCTCTGCCCAAGGAAGGTGGCAAGGACAAACTCCCCTTAAAAAAAATACTTTGTCAAGGCAACAGCAGGAGCTTGTTCAGGCAGTCCCCAGGAGACAAAAACTGACTCGAAGGCTCACACACACAGACACACACAAATGCCGTTTTACGTTAAGCAGACTTTTCCAATTGGTAACCTCTTATTTTGCCGAAAGAAGAGCCTTAGGCAGAATGTACTTTTCAATTGCAGGTTTTATTCATTTGTTTCATTTGCACACACTGGGATCTTTTTGCAACTAAGTTAAGCAGGGGACAGGTTCCAAAAAAAGCCAGAATCTTTGTCGTGATCAAAACTGGTCCAGAGCTTTAAAGATGACACCCCCCCACTGTCATTTCCAACCCAAACTTTGCAGATAACCATCGGAAGCTTAAGGATGTGTAGCTGAGATGAACTCTCATTCTGCCTCCCATAATTCTGTCTCTCAAAACAATTTTTTCACCAGCGCTCCGCCCCTCTCATCCTCTCTGTCTCTTTTGTCTCTCCAGATTTGGGTCAACGAAGAAACGAAGCTGGTGTATTTCCAGGGCACGAAGGATACCCCTTTGGAACATCACCTCTATGTGGTCAGCTACGAATCTCCTGGCGAGGTCGTGCGACTCACCACCCTGGGCTTCTCCCATAGCTGTTCCATGAGTCAGGTCAGTTTCTCTTGGGTCCGAAAGCCGACCTCCGTTCTGACCTAGGCTTCCCGAGAAAGCTTAAATCACAATCTTAGTCCCCCAAACCCTCTTTTATTTAGACGGCTGTGAATTACGGCTGTTCACAGACAGTAATGATTCACAAACAGCCTGTGAAGATTCCGACAGATGTCTGCTCAAGTTGACAGTCTTTCCGGGGAATGTTGATAAGCACCCGCCTTTATCTCCCTTGAAACGCTGCCAGAGGCCTAATTGCCAATTAGTTTCGCAAGGGCTAAACGTAGCACAGAGTCAAATAGAGGTTCTCAGAGCTTGAACCGACTAGAAGAACTAATTGCTTCCAGCAAAGGTTCACCTCCGTTTGCTCCTCTTTTATGTCTCATGGGAGGGGCCAATCATCTCCAAGCCTTACTCCCGAGTCGCTCTTAATTGTTCCTCCCTTCTGACACCTCTGCTCATGGGCACACTGGGAACAGGCTCCGGCTGTTCTTCTGCCTCACTGATGTCTGACTCCGAAGGCAGCTGATAACTGTCGGATGGCTCTGGCCCCCTCTCTGCCTCCGACGCAGAGCCCTCATCCGAGCCTTTCCCAGACTCCAGGACTGGCCCATCTTCCTCCCCAACCTCCTCACTGTCCGAATCTGCAGCCAAGCCGTCGGCAGACCACAGCAACCGTTTGCAACCAGTCCATCCGGGTTAAAATGAAACCCCCAACACCCTGGTAGATGTCTAAGGAGGTTCTCAGTCATCCAGCTTCCGGTTGTCCCAAAGGTCCTTTTTAAAAAGGCAACTGGACTTTCTTACTTGAATGAAGGTGAATGAATATACCGTATTTTTCCGTCTATAAGATGCTCCCATGTATAGAACAACCCCATGTTTCATGTAGAGCAAGTAAATAAGCATGCTGCAAGCCATCACGCTGCAGAAGCCATCTTATTAGAGAGAGAGCAATACAAGAACAGGAAATGCATCCCAGGAACAATAGAGATGAAAACTAGAGTGACAATGTCATGTAGGAAACAACTACAATAGAGAGGAATGATAGAGCTGCACATAAGGTAGAGGCCAGTCAGCATGAGCGTTAGAACTGGAGGACGGGGATGGGCCACACTTTCTCCTCTAGGTGTATAAGGCGCACCTCCATTTTCAAGTAAACATTTTAAAGAAAATAGCATCTTATACATGGAAAAATATGGTACATATCCCAGGATAATGTTGCAGGCTCCAATCTGGGTCGGTCATCGGCAGGACCTTCTGATCTTTCGGACTCGGGCTGGAGTCCATCTTCAGGGAACTTCTCTCTAGCAAAGTGTGAGCTGTTCTGTGTGTGCAGGGTTTATAGTGTGGCTTTTTAGATCTTGCTTGCTCACTTATGTTCTTGCAATGAGAAGGGGAGACCCAAAGTCATTGATAACCTCACATTGCAGTGAACAAGGAGACATATTCAATTTTGCAGCTACTAAGATTGTTGGGCGAGCAGGCACAAAAGCAGCCAGAGTAGTGATTGGAGCCTGGGAAAAATGTCCCTCAGCAGTCAACAAGAGTGCTGATTTACCACCAGCCTATGAAGTACTTAAAGGCAAAGGCTGGGTTGCACAATAATATTCTAGAATAGAATTGAATAACAGGATTGGAAGGAACCTTGGAGGTCTTCTAGTCCTGCTTAGGCAGGAAACCCTACACCAATTCAGACAAATGGTTATCTAATCTCTTCTTTAAAGCTTCCAGTGTTGAAGCATTTTCTTGTAATTGCTTCTTGTTCTACCCTCAGATGCTTTGGAGAATAGTTTGACTCCCCCTTCTCTGTGGCAGCTCCTGAGATATTGGAAGACTGCTATCATGTCACCCCCTAGTCTTTCTTTTCATCAAACTAGGCATATCCAGTTCCAGCAACTGTTCTTTATGTTTTATCCTTGGGTCTCCTAATCATCTTTGTTGCTCTTCTTGTGGAGTTGAAGTCCACAAGTCTTAAAAGTCGCCAAGACTGGGTGCTCTAATCTTTATCGTTTCTTCTTCATCTTCCTTAGATAGAAAGTCTCTACAGAGAGTGGTGAGGACAGTGGAGAAGATCACAGGAGGCTCACTTCCCATTATTCAGGATGCTGCTTATAAGCATTATGTGCTTAGAGCTCTCATTGTTAAGAGACCTCATACATACACTTTGTGGTCTGTTTCTGTTACTCCCCTCTGGGAGGAGGTTTTGAAGTATTTCTAGCAATACTACCAGATTCTGTAACAGCCTTGCTCCCTAGGACATCTGTCTGGCAAACTGTCGAGATTCATTTCTCTCGCCATGTATATGTATACATCCAAACTACCGTGTTGTTTCTCTATAAGAAGCAATGGGTGGAAACTAATCAAGGAGAGAAGCAACTTAGAACCGAGGAGGAATTTCCTGACAGTTAGAACAATTAATCAGTGGAACAGAAGTTGCCTCCAGANTCCCTTTCCCCCTTCCTCTTTTCTTCCTCCCTCCTTTCTCCTTCCATCCCTCCCTTCTTTCTCCTGCCTCCCTTTCCCTTCTTTTTTCTTTCTTCTCCTCTCCTTCTTCCCTTCCCTTTCCCCCTTCCTCTTTTCTTCCTCCCTCCTTTCTCCTTCCATCCCTCCCTTCTTTCTCCTGCCTCCCTTTCCCTTCTTTTTTCTTTCTTCTCCTCTCCTTCTTCCCTTCCCTTTCCCCCTTCCTCTTTTCTTCCTCCCTCCTTTCTCCTTCCATCCCTCCCTTCTTTCTCCTTTCCTCCCCCCCTTTTCCTCCCTCAATCTCTCCTTCCTCTTTCCTTCCTCTCTTTCTTTCTTTCTCCCTCTTCCCTTCCCTTCCCCTCATTCCTTTCCTGGTGACCGATCGATCCCATCGGGGAGATCCAATCGGAAATGACCCAATCCTTTCACATTTCTAGGAATCCAATCTCTCACGGACTCTATTTGTTTTCCCCACAGCCTCTGTTTCTAGGGCCATTATTACTTTTTTCCCCTAAAAAAAAAAGAAAATTAGCCCAACGACTATGATTAATTTCCACTCGGTTGCCATGGTTATTAATAATAATGAAGTGATGGTTATTGCATGCAGGTTTCTCAAGCACAAGGCTAATATTTGTTTCGAAAATAAGGACTGGACAAGGGACAAGGTTTTTCCAAGAGCGTGTGAAAACTCTGTTTGTGTGTGTGTGTGTGTGTGTGTGTATGCACGTGCGTGTAACACATTTACAGAACTCATTCCTGCCCCTGCTTCACAGCCATGGCTAAAAGAGGCTGCAGCAATCAATTTATTTTGCAAATGCGGTTAGTCCTCAGCTTACGACGGTTCATTGAATTTTCATTGAAAATTACATCGGCACTGCACGAAGTGGCTGATTGCTGTTTTTCACACTTGTGCACCGTTTCAGCATCCTCATGATCGTGGCGATTAAAATTCAGATACTTGGCAACTGACTCGTACTTATGACGGTCGCAGTGCCCCCCCTCGGGGTGGGGTGTCACGTGATTCCCCCCCCTTTTGCGACCTTCTGACAAGCAAAGTCAAGGGGGAAGCCAGATTTGCTTAACGACCATGTTACTAACTTAACAGCTGCAGTGATTCACTTAACAACTGTGGGAAAGAAGGCCGTCGAACTGTCTCACTTAACAACAAAAACTTTGGGCTCCATTGAGGTCATAAGTCAAAGACTTCCTGTAGAAATCTATAAATATTAGCCCAATATCAGTCTAGATCATTTTCTGCTCTCTCTTCTGGTTGGGTTCATCTCTAAATCAGATTTATGAAACTTGGTTAATCTGCAATTTCTGCTTGAGTGATGAACCTCTGCGGGGAAAATGGCACTTTAAATCAGATTTAAAAATAGCTTTTAAAAGCTGACTTTTCTGGCTTATAGGAAACTCTGAAGACAGAGGGGAAAATATCTTTGTTGTGGTTGGCAGGGAGGGAAATGAGAAAGGTGTAACCCTCCCCACGACTTTGGCGTTGAGACACAATAATTCTAGATGTGAAGCCTGAAAAAAATTCCTGGAGGGGTGAATTATGGGCCCCTCCCCACACAAAAAAATGAGTCCGGGGTGAGTTTCACCCTGTATTGTCTTTGCACGCTATAAATCTACAGATAGTCCTCAACTTATCACCACAATTGAGCCCAAGGTTTCTGTCACTAGGTGAGACAGACTGTCTCTAACTTTAACCATTTCTTGCTGCAGTTGTTAAGTGAATCATTGAAGTTGTTAAGTTAGGAATATGGTAGTTAGTTAGTTAGTTAGTTAGTTAGTTAGTTAGTTAGTTAGTTAGTTAGTTAGTTAGTCAGTCAGACAGACAGACAGACAGACAGACAGACAGACAGATACAGGATACATAGACAATATAGATAGATAGATAGATAGATAGATAGATAGATAGATAGATAGATAGATAGATAGATAGATAGATAGATAGATAGATAGATAGATAGA